TAAATGGATCTTAGAGTTGATATTGTCCTACAGCTCATCTTACGGATCGGGTAACCAAGTGCAGGGGAAAAGAGGCACGTGTCCCCTGGTCACCTGATGATAAGAACAAGACTTTCCTAGCATTTCTTCCATCATTTTTGACCTCATCAGCCTCCATCACTGAAAGTCAGTCTGAGATTTTGCTATACCTGTTAATGGTGAACATAATTTTGAGGCTGCCTGCTTAGACCCACACATAGACTCATTCACTGTGGTGTGTGTGTGTGTGTGTGTGTGTGTGTGTGTGTGTGAGAGAGAGAGAGAGAGAGAGATTTGCCTCCAGATTCACAAGCCTGACACATTTGGTTGAGATGAATGTTGTCCTTCAACATGAGAGTAGATGGATACATTTCTATACCTTGGTGAAAATGCTAGTTGTGCTGTGCTGAGAAGCAGCGTATTTCCCTCATTTACTGTGTGTGTGGCATTGCCTGTGATGGCATCCAGGCCCAGTACAAGATCTTAAAGAGAAGCACCATGACCCACATCCACAGACAGTGCTCCGAGTAGGGGCCTGGCCCAGCTGCTCATGCTGCAAAGGCCTTAGAAACTTAAGTCTGGGATGTGCAGGCTGCTGTCTGCCACCATCCCCTCACCCCCAGTGGCACCCAGCGCCACATATCAGTGCACCACACTCTAAGTCTAAGAGTCTGCCCTGGAGCACTTCCCAGAGATCCCAAAGCCTGGAATAGATTGTAAAATATAGGCCTTGAGCTTCCCCGGATTTTCAGCAGGCAAATTGCAGGGCCAGCATCCCATCACAGGTCACAGGCTTTCCTAATGCTTGACTATTTCCCAGATTCACTGAAGTAGTTTTTACATTTATATAAAAAATAAACTTCTCTAACAAAGCGCTAACATTGCAGTTTCCTGGCATATGTCGGGGAAGAGGCTTCACAGCCTGTCTATGTGTAGACGGCCCCCGGCGCTTATTTCTAAGTAGGGGACTGGCACTTGTTGGCGATGTGGGGAGGTCTGAAGGGTCTGCCTGTTCCCCTGATAAGGCCTCGCCCTTTGTCAGCAATTAACACAGTCCCTGCTGAAGGGGACAAGGCCATCACCTAAATGGGCCAACCACAGTGCCATGGAAGCCAGCTGGAGGAAGCCCACATAGTCCAGTGATTAGCCCATGACTTTACCTACATGAGTTTTTATGACTCTTTGTGTTTGGAGTTTTATAAAAGCCCAATCGCCACCAGTGCAGCTTGATTTTTGTACTATCCTCGATCACTGGGCTGATATCCTGGAAGTGATTTCATTGTATGTCAGATTTTGAGCAGTTAATAAAGATCATCAGAATAGTAAACCAGCACTGGTAGGTAATAGACTTGTTTGGCTTTTTGGAACTTTTTGATTTGTGGATTTTTAAGTATATAACACCAAAATGTATACCAGTATATTTCAGTATGTACTGAAACCACAGTACATACTTGAATGGTGAGTGGAAGTCAGGAGAGAGTTCTCAGTCTCAGCTGTATGCCCCAAGGCAAGCTGGCCAGTTCTCTCCTCTGAGAAATCCAAGTTCGCTTGTGTACTCTCTCAGAAACCCCTTCTGGTTCTAACGTTCTATGATTCTTCTGTCCTTATTTTTAAAAACATAGATGAGATCCTATTGGGGCTAAAGGAAGGGAAAGTCATATCAATTTATTAACATTATAAAAAGAATGCCTAGTGGAAATGAAGGCTAAAATGTTTTAATTTTAATAAATGAGGTCTTTGTTATACCCACTGAGCCTGATCTTTTCAAATACTTTTGAAAAAGGGAATGCTCTCTGTCCGCGATAGGCGGTACGTGGCTGGAGAAGACAGGCTGCCAGTGCCCTGTCAGAGCGTGTTTTCTCCACGCAGATTTAGGGGCTGGGTCAAGGTCTGTTTCCAGGACAAAAATGAGGTCCCCAATTTCTAGCACAGGCGCTGTCCTCTTCCTTCTCCATCTGCCTCCCCTCCTCCTCAGCCCTGGCGGCATCTTTCTGGGCTATATTTATTTCTTATGTGCCTGTGGCTCTTCATGCATCAAACAACAATGACAGGAGAAGTTGCTATGCCTCCAATGGCAAAGTTAGACAATAACTCAGTTTAAGACAGAGAAGATGTAAACCAACAGTGATGGCCAAAGCTGATTCAGAGGTATGGAAGATTGCTCACACTAGACACGTCTGTGCAATGATGAAAGTGGCCAGGGCAAAGTGACCCTGGATTGGTTGCTTTGCTTCTGGGGAGCTCCAGGAGAGCTTTTCTGAGGTGATGGAGTTAACATGTGTGTGCCTCATGGATCATCCAGCCCTGGGGACCCAGCACTCTGCATGCCTCATGTCATTCTTACCTTTTACAGATGAGGAAATGGAGAGGTGTACAGAAGTCAGGTCACAAACGTGGGGTGAAACTTAGAACCTTAGAACCTGTGCATCTGCTCTCAGCCATCATCCCAACCCAGCTGAAGGATGGAGTCAGCTCAGAGAGCAGGAGGACCCTGCCTCACCCTTAGTGGATCCCTGGCACAGTGCTGTGAGACTATCTTCCCCTTTTTCTTGCCTTTTGGGGAGTTCGGTTTTATTTCTTGTTTTTCCCCGCGGTTAGTCTAGGAAGCAACTAGAACATTTCATACACTAATAGTTGGCACAGAGCCAGAAATGCTAACTGATGACTCCATTCCCATAGGAAATATGTAATATATCTGTTTCAATCAGATTGTTTCTAAAATGAAGCTTTAGGATTGAACTGCTGCAACTGTACCGATATCTGCATGAGACATGACTCCAAGATTAAAAAACCACAAAGACTTAGTCTGTTCAGAAGCTTGTTCTTTTGGAAATAATGACTGATGTTCCAACATGATTAATAGTGCAACTATGAGATAGCAAACTATTAAAGATGGAAACGATCCCCAAGATCGTGAAGTTCACACCACCATTTTAGAGACAGGAAAGTGAAGGCTCGAGAGAGGTGGCCCATTGCCCAGGAGACTCAGAAGACAGAACCAGCCTGTGGGCTGCCCGCGTTGTACTGCCCTCAACTCCTGGTCCCATCGGTCGCTGCAGTAACCACCAAGGAAGATGCTGCACAGCGCCGACTCCTGGTCCGATGTGAAAAGGGTCTCCCACTGTGATTTTCTTTGTTGGACTTTACAATCTCCTTGTCTTTCTGCTGAATCAGAGTGAAGAACAGTTGAGGAGAATTGCATGAACAGCTTCTTGTGTGTCTGTGTGTGTTGATGGAGGTTTTTTTTTTTTAAGGTTTTTCTATGATTAGATTCAGGATTTTTTGTTGTTTTTGTCCAGTTTTTGTTTGTTCTTGCATGAAATAATGAAAAAGTAAGTCAAGGTTTGCAATTGGTTTCTTTTGACTTAGGAAAAAAGAAAATTACTCTGTGAGAGTACCAGCGATGTAATATGAGTCTGTAATTTTACTCACTTGGTCTTTACTTTTGACACCTTTGCCTCAGTGTTCCTGGGCATGGCTGTGGAGGCTCCTGTGCAGGCAGGCTCAGTTCCTTGGGTGCTCACAAGAGGAACAGATCAGGGATCTTCTTTGGTATTTTCAAAAAACTTACTTCTAAGTTTTTTGAGGATAGAGGTTCCACCTCTATCCCTGCCATTATCTTCATGGAGTCTGGCATGAGGAAGGCAGGCAGGACACAGCCCCCTGTGCAGAGCTGCCTGATCCAGCTCCTTTCCTCTGAGCCTGGGCTGGGCCTTGGGATCTTCACCATAGAGCTTCCTGCCCACTTCCTGTATTTGCAGATGAAACTTGAGCCATCCTTGCTAAGGGGACCCACATGGGCAGAGTCCACGGGTCAAGCTTTACTGACCCGTGATGCCGTAAGGTCTATAAAAACAGTCACTAGGGTTCAAAGCCATGCCTCAGGAAAGAGGAAGTATACGTGCATTCTCTTTGGTGGCTTCCTCTCTTACCTCTGCCCCCCAGCAGAATTAGTCATTCTTCACTCCAAAATGTCCTGCACAGACCCCTGAGGTAGCTCTTTTCACAGCTGATGGAAGTGAGGTGGAGGCTGCCTGCTTGTCACCCCTGCCCCTGGTGGTGCAGTGCTGGGTGTCCTCTTTGTGCCCACACCCTCTCCAGCATGTGTTCGTGATGTTTATGGGGTTGAATTAAGTGGATGATAAAAGACACTCATGCACCAGATGGTGGCCGTGGGTGGCCCCTGGACCTCCACACGCTAGTGGGTGCGTTTCCACATTTTCTCTACTTCCACTCATGACCCTGCCATGGAGAAGTGGGTCGGGCCCAGAGACCCCAGTCACACTGGGACCAGAGTCAACCTTGCTCTCTGCTCACGGGTTGACAAAAACCTTCTCCCACCAGTAAGACTGTGTAGTTCCTTGGCACTCTAGTGCCAGCCTACTGGGTAAGCACTTTCTGCGTATTAGCTTCACAAGCTCAGCAGAACTTCAGCATCAGTACGATGCAAAAAAAATAGTTATTTAAAAAACGTTATGCATGGTACCTTCATACACTGCCTTCCCTGTTCACAATAGCTCTTCTCCTTGAGCATATTTAAGATGATTGACTCATGAAATGTTAGGGTTATTCACAGATATTCTTTGTGCACCTTTTGGGGCAAGCAAAGATGTACCCGTAAAGTACATTTTGGTGGCTTCTCAGTGTGATCCCAGAGATGAGGAGGATAAACTGGTGCCAGACCCAGCCACGGGATTCGCTTTGGTCCCTTGGCTTCCTTTCTTGGGAAATGTCTGAGTGGATAGAATTTCCTCCTGGAGGGGGACTCTCTGCTTTCCCTACAGGCCATTGGTGCAGAGGCTCACCTGCGGTGGAGATGCCTGGCTCCCTGGCATTCCCATAACCCAGCCGAGCCCCTGAAGGCCCTAGTCGCCTTCCTCCCAGGTTCCTGAGGTCTGCCTGGTGGCAGAGCTCCCGCCTGGCCTGCTCCTTGGTGTGCAGCGTGCCCTGTATGCTCTCTGAAGCCCGTCTTCCCCCCACAGCTAGCATGCCCACCAGCGAGACTGAGTCTGTGAACACAGAGAACGTAAGCGGCGAAGCCGAGACGCGAGGCTGCTGTGGAAGTCTCTGGTGAGTGTGGGGAGCACTCGCCCTCCCTCCCCTCCTGTTGTCTCAGAGAAGCAGGTGGCGAGGAAGACAGCCCAGGCTGCGGCAGAGTCCCGGGGCCATCGCCTTGAGTGTGGCAGGGAGGAAGCCTCCTCGTACCCCACGGCATGCTTCCTCCAATGCGAGGGCTATCCCCCCCCGACAACTGGCATTTCACATGCCTCTTCTTGTAAGTAGAGCCCGTGAAGAGTGTGGTGGTTAACCCGGCCGCCTGCTGTGTCCATTAGGTGCTGGTGGAGACGGAGAGGCGCGACCAAGGCGGGGCCCTCTGGGTGTCGGCGGTGGGGGTAAAGGCCTGATTCTCCTTCCAGCCTGGGTTTGGCATTTGTGCTTTTGAAGAAGAGCTTATGTGGCAGAGTTGCTGACTAGAATGTGCTACATATTTAAGTTTTCCTTTGCTCATGGGACCTTCCTAACCTCAGGCCTGGCGGTTGGATGACGAGGCCCTGCCTTCTCCGTGCCTGGCACTTTTTCCCTGGAGCCCTGCACCAGCCTCTCCTCATGATGGAAGGCGCCATTGCATTAACACTCACTGGCTTTTCTGTAGATGATTTGGGCTGCAGTCGCTGGCGGGGTCTGGGGGCACCAGCAGTGCAGAATGTGCTGGGCACTGCCTGCCATGGGGAGCCCTGTGTGGCTTGGTTTTGTTTGCTTCTTGCTGATATCCTTCAGGTCTTATCTCTGTAAAGTACGGGTGTCATTTTTAAGAGAACTCAACCTTTCTCTTGGCAGAGTTTCATAAAAATGATGTGTTATGGGCAGAATATGCAGCCATTTGTGTAGTGATTTTGCCTCCATTCTCTTGCTCTGCCCTCTCTGAGACACCATGAAGCAGTCAGAGAATGGGTTTGTCATCCCCATCTTATGGATGAGAACGCTGAGGCCCAAGAAGACATGCCGCTTTCCCATACTCACCCAGTGGGAGAATGGCAGTGCTGGGACTCCTCGTGCAGTGCTCCTTCTGCAGTAGTAGAAGCAAATGCTGCTGTCAAGATGAGTGGCAGGAGACACTCTGCCACCTTCATTTTGGCCCCTGCATCGCTGCCTGCTACCAGGGACTGCAGGGAATCTGGTTGAGTCTTCCCCGACCTGGGCTTTGAGGGTGCTCAGCCTGCTCCTGTGGCCCTGGCAGCACCCAGGCTTCTGCTCTGGCCTTGCCCCCGCCGGCCTGCTGTGGTAACCAGGGGCCTGTATGCATGGCTTTTATGATAGCCCAGCTGCAATGATGGGGAGCAGGTGCTTAAACCTTCAGAACCAGAGTCTTAACACTTTTTGTCTTTCTTTCAGTCAAGCCATCTCAAAATCCAAACTCAGGTCAGTATCTTCTTTCTTTCTTTGCTAGCCTGTGTGTTGCCTTTGTATGTTCTCACTTCTGAATTTTACATAGAATTGCTCTGGACTTGAGTTTTCCTCTATGGGTTATAACATTGGTACTGAATTGCAGTCAGTCAGTTGAATCCTGTGAGCCTGCCTTAGGGGACAGTGTAATAGGTGCTAAAGATCTCCCTCAAAACAAAACCAACAAGACCCAGTAAAGGTTTTTGCCTCCCCATTAATCCTCCTTGTTCTCTTGAGTCATTTCCCTAAGAGAGCTGCTGCTCGGAAGCATTCCAGAGAAAGGGAGTTCAAGAAGTCTCCCAAGGTACTCACATTGTTTGATGTGCATGCAGGTTACATGCTCAGCTGATACAACTCATTGAACCATATACCTGTGATTTGTGTACCTTTCCATCGGAGTGCCATTTTTCAACAAAAACATTTTCCTACTGTATATAAACATTGACTTAAAATAGACAAGGACCTAAAGATAAAATACAAAATCATGAACATTCTAGAAGAAAACATAGGAGGAAGTGTTTGTGACCTTGAGTTAGGCAAAGGTTTCTTAAGATACAACACCCAGTATACTTTCTGTAACAGAAAAAAACAGATACATTGGTCTTCATGAAAATTAAACTTCTGTTCTTCAAAAGAAAATAAAAAGGAAAACTTCACTTAGAAATATTTGCAAAGCATATTTGATAAAGGACTGGTATCCTGTCTGTATAAAGATTAATACATAAATAAGAGAGTCAATAATAGAAAAACCCAATTAAAAAATGGGCAAGACATTTTAATAGGCATTTCACCAGAGAAAGGATGTGGATGGCAAATGAGCACATGAAATGACCATCAGTTGTTACAAAAACGCATGGTAAAATCACAGTTACCACTCTACACCTGTTAGAGTGGCTCAGCTTTAAATATCTGACAACGCCAAGGATGCTGATTGGTGGGAACTTTCATACAATGCTGGTGGACTTGTCAGATGACATAGCCATTAAAAAAATAGGTAGTTCCTCATAAAGTTTAAACATATATTTACCGTATTTATATTTGGCCCAGCCATCCCACTTCTAAGGTGTTTGTATAAGAGAAATGAAGATATATGCCTGCATACAAAGTTTTAACATGAATGTTTATAGCGGTTTTATTCGTACTTACCCCAAGCTGGAAATAACGCAAATGTCCATCAAGTATGAATGGGTAGACACGCTGTGGTTCACCCATGTGATGGAATACTGCTTAGCAATAACAAGGAAATAACTACTGAGACTTGGAGCAATGCAGATGAATCTTGGTAGCATCTTTGCTAAGTGAAAGAAGCCAGTCTCAAAAGGCTACATAGTGTACAACTCTGCGTATATGACATTCCAAATAAAACAATAGGGACAGGGCAGATCAGTCTCTGTCTGGGGCAGGGGGTGAGGATGGTGGGTTGACTACAGAGAGCCATGAGGGAACCTCTTTGAATGATAGAAATTTTCTGCATCTCAATTGTGTATACCTAAAAAGTGTAAATTTTACCATATGTAAATTATATCTCAGTGAATCTGACTTTAAAAAGGCCAGGCATAGTAGCTCACACCTGTATTGCCAGCACTTTTGGAGGCCGAGCAGGAGGATCACTTGAGCCCTGAAGTTCATCACTTGCCTGGGTAACATAGTGAGACCTTGTCCCTACCCAGCAAAACCAAACAATTAAAATGCCTTCCTGTTGCCAAGGTGGGCATAATGCCCCCATCACCTGGCTCTGCCTACCCTCAGCCTCATCCCTTGACCTTCCTCCCGTATGCCTATGTTGTAGCTAACCTGGGCTGCCTTAGTTTCAGAGTGCCACACGCTCTGTTTCTTCCTGCTCTGTCCCTGTCGCCCTGTGGTCTCCTTGGGGAGGAGTGCCCTTCCCCCTGCCCCCTGAGTAACTCTTACTCATGGATCAAGACCCAGCCCAAATATCTACTTTTCAGAGAAGACTTCCCTGACTCTTCCAAAGAGCATTTGTGGCTCTCTTCTCTTTGCTCCTGTACCCTGTACCCTGAGAATAGCACTTGGTGTGGATTTGCAGTCAGTATTTACAACAACCCTGTATGCTTTGCAGGACCAGGGACCCTGGAACCTTGCCTTCTTGCCTTCTTCATCTTCATCCACCCAGTGCCTGGCACAGAGTCAGTGCTCAGGAATTCTGGTCTCATGAAAGAACAGGCTGGGCCATTAGGCACTAAAAGCCCAGGAAGGGGCAAGATGGGGAGTGCTACAGGATTCCAGGGGATGGGACAGTGAGGCTTCTGGGTTTGAGAGACACTTGTGCCTTGTCACCACAGCATACAGCAGACCCACCAGGCCTGGGTCTTTTTCAGGCCACTTAGTTTGTGTGTGCTGAGTTAATGCATCCCAAGAGAAACCTAGCTGTGAGTGGGATAGTCTTTAGTGTCCTTAGTAGAGTTTTTCCACGCTACCCAACATGTTAGAAGCTGCTCTTTCCATTGGAAACTGCACAGGAAGAGCAGTAATAAAATGCACCTTGCGTGATCCAGGTTTTGGTAAAGAATTGGCACAACTCTCTGCTCGCTTCCTGGGTTGCAGATTTTTTTTTTTTCTGCCTAGCAACACAGCTGAGTCAGCCAGCGCTGCAGCTTGGGCAGCCTGGAGATTCCTCTTGACTCAGGCCCCCAGAGGAAGTGCCCCATTGTCGTCAGTGAGGCAGCACAGCCTGGAGAGGACTGACTTCACCAATCTGCTGGCCCTTTCCTGGGATCTGGGTCGCTGAGCTGCTGCTCATGGCATACTTTACAAAATCACCCCCCTGTGGCAGGGAAGGTTTTCCAGAAGCAGATAGGCTAAGGGAGAGAACATGTCCTCTAATCACAGACAGGAACTGAAGGTAGGTGGAGGACATGCTACTTGTCTGTTTGGCTCAGCTCATTTTATTTTTATGAAAACACGATTCAATATTGGCTCTTCTCCTAAAGGTATATTTTGAGCATCCCTAGTTAGAAAGGGCACCTGATGACTCAGTATGAAGTCTCATGTCCTACTCAGCTTTGACAACTCTGCCAGGCTCTGGAGGAACCTCAGAGATTTAAGAAAGGATTAGAATATTCCCTTAAAAAAAAAAAACTAGCTTTGTAGCACTTTGCTGCCTGGTAAATTCTGTATGGTGATTGAGATGCTGCAAGAGATGTGTATAATAAGCGAAGCAGCTCTCTGCACTGATGCATGAGCAGATCCACGTCCCATATGGTGGATATAGGAACCACGTATGTGTGCAAGTGCAGTTTTGCATCTGCACATGAATCTATGAATATCTAGATTTTCTAACCCACTTAAGGGCTGCATATGACAGATTCTGGAATTATCTGTAAGCCATAAGGAAGGAAACTGATAGCATGATCAAGTCAAGATTATACTTTTAAAAGTTGCATTTTAAGACCAACATAATTTTTATTATGAGGTCTGTTAATTTCTGTGCCATTTGCTCTCATCTTTCTTTCCTGCACTCTCACCCCAATCTGGACCTCCAGAATGAAAGGCAAATTATTTCCCAATCATATTTGTTGGCTACTCAGATGCTATATCTGTCATCTAGGGAGTAACATTTGCTTATCTTTCAGCCGCCGCTGGCGTCGCTGGAACCGATTCAATCGCAGAAGATGTAGGGCTGCCGTGAAGTCTGTCACGTTTTACTGGCTGGTTATCGTCCTGGTGTTTCTGAACACCTTAACCATTTCCTCTGAGCACTACAATCAGCCAGATTGGTTGACACAGATTCAAGGTACAAGCAGAGGCCACTCCTTTTTTGTTCTGAACTGGGGATTTCTGTGGCTGTCCAACTGCCATTTGGTCTTATCTGATCGCCATATGATGAAGTATTGGAACATTTCTAGTGAGGACAAACTTGGATGGTGCTACCATAGACACAGCAACTATCAGAGTGATGGTGCTGTCCATGCTGCATGGTGAAGCACCTTGGAGCTGCCTGATGCCAGGCGTCTAATTGTCCTAACTCTGAGCCAACCTAAGACCAAGAATTCTTGGAGTTTGAAGGGACCTCATAATCCCTTCTCACACCCCCATCGGGAAGCCTCACTTTCCTCTATAGTACTTCTGGCAAATGGTTTCGGTTCTCCTGCTTTGAATGCTCCAGCACTGGAGTGTGAGACTCTCATTCCCAGAGACAGCCCATTCTGGGTATGACAGTTTCGAGTCTTTGAAAAGTCCTTCCTTACATCCAGTCAAACCTGTTTCCTTCTACCTCTCCATCCTGCTTGGTAGTATTTTTTGCTGTTAGAAATGACATTGATAGGTGACTGCTTCTGATATCAAGATGACATAAACAAATTCAGACAGGTCTTTTTTTGTGTGATTGAATGAAAAAAATATATATAACCTGATGGTGTCAAGGCAGAATCGTAGGCTTTTAGGGCTGGAAGTTGTCAGGGATTAAGTGATGAGCTGCCCCTTCCCATTTTGTCATCAGTGACACTGAGTCCTGGAGAAATCAAGTAACTTCTCCAGGGTCACACACCTAGCTAGTGGCAGAAGCAGGACCAGAGCCTGGTGGAGAGACTATGCATGCGAAGGCCACGTTTCTGTCCTGGGTGAGGTAGTGAAGAGAGAGACAAGGTATTGGTGTATTTCCTGTGGGGCCTGATAGAGAGGGAGGCATGAGGGGCGAGAGTAGTCTGTCTTGCAGGAGACCCTGAGGATGGGTGCCCCTTTGTCTTTGCAGATATTGCCAACAAAGTCCTTTTGGCTCTGTTCACCTGTGAGATGCTGGTAAAAATGTACAGCTTGGGCCTCCAAGCATATTTCGTCTCTCTTTTCAACCGGTTTGATTGCTTCGTGGTGTGTGGTGGAATTACTGAGACCATCTTGGTAGAACTGGAGATCATGTCTCCCCTGGGGATCTCTGTGTTTCGGTGTGTGCGCCTCTTAAGAATCTTCAAAGTGACCAGGTAAGGAAACGTGGGTCCCCCTGGAAATGTTTTATGAACATGAGGCGGCGACCAGTCACGTCCCCGGGCAGGTGTTGTTCTGCTCTGTCCCGCATTGGTGTTCTGAGCTCACACCCTCATCTTGACTTATAGGCACTGGACTTCTCTGAGCAACTTAGTGGCATCCTTGTTAAACTCCATGAAGTCCATCGCTTCGCTGTTGCTTCTGCTTTTTCTCTTCATTATCATCTTTTCCTTGCTTGGGATGCAGCTATTTGGCGGCAAGTTTAATTTTGATGAAACGCAAACCAAGCGGAGCACCTTTGACAATTTCCCTCAAGCACTCCTCACAGTCTTCCAGGTGAGTTTTCCCTCCTTGTCCTGAAAAGCACGTTGTGGGCAGCAGCTAAAACTCCTCTGCCTTCTTGGGCACACACACTCAGAAAGACAAAAGGACTCCATTTTTGTTCATCTCTGCCCTAATGATAGCCTGGTAAATTTTGTGCCATTTTAGTTATTTGTTCTGCATCATCCTCCAGCTATCTGCGTTATGTGATTTAATGTTTTGTTTTGTTTTTTGAGATGGAGTCTCACTCTGTCACCTAGGCTGGGGTACAGTGGTGGCGCAATCTCAGCTCACTGCAACCTCCACCACCCGGGTTCAAGCGATTCTCCCACCTCAGCCTCCTGAGTAGCTGGGATTATAGGCTCATGCCACCACACCCGGCTAATTTTTTGTATATTTTTTTAAGTACAGACGGGGTTTCACCATGTTAGCCAGAATGGTTTCAATCTCCTGACCTCAAGAACCGCCCACCTCAGCTTCCCAAAGTGCTGGGATTAGAGGCTTAAGCCACCGCGCCCAGCCCTTAGCCCTTAATTTTTTTTTAAAAAAAGACTTCTAGCCACATTACAAAATAATAAACCAAAAAACCCTTTTTTACACACACACCTCCCAGAAAACTTTTTGATTGATTTTGTGAGGTTTCTTTGAAATAGACTCTAAAATTCTTCTGTTCTTTGCTAATTTTTGACGGCAGGCCAGTTTATCATCCTAGTAACAATAGATTACCCGAGAAGTGAATTCTCATGCCTCCATGCTGTGGTGTGTAGTTGGAGGAACGTGACAGCTGTCGGCCGCTTCTGTCCTCCTCCTGGGGTTCAGTGAGGATGCAGAGTCTGAGGGTGCCTGTACTGCGGGGCTGCTGCAGGCAGTGGCTGAGAAGGGAGCGGTGGTTGCAGAGAGGCACCGATGGCCCCGCTGCTCAAGGAGCAGCACACACTCCCCTGACTCTAAGCTGGGTGTTCGAAACCCTCCTCCTTGGACAGGGTCTGATGGATAAGTTTAAAACACCTACCTGTCCTCATTGCTTTTCCTGTGTGATGTGAGCTGCAGAGCCCTGCCAGAGAGGAAAGGCAGCAGACAGCTGGGCCCCGTGCTAGCCCTTTCTATGCCCAGCTGCCTGCCACGGATGAGTCACTTACCCATTTCTGAAGAAATCCAGCAACCAAAGGGATTGGTCTGGACAATTCTTTCCCACTTGGTCATTTTGAGGTATATGTAATTACTGCTATAAGCCATAGTTTTGTTGTTTGAATTATACTTAAATTTTGGCTGCTAATGAGTCATTCTTTTTTAAAAGATTTTTTCTTTCGGAGAGACTGGTGTCTTTTTTTTTTTTTTTTTTTTGGTAATGTATGCATATGGCACAAAATTCTAATGTTACAAATGAATATTTTCCCAGCCAGTCACGAATTTCCACTTCTAGGAAGCAACCACCATTAAACAGTTTCTTGTGAATTCTTAGATCTTCATTTTCTCATAGCTACAACTCAGTTAAGCTACCTATAGGTGACTTTCCACAGAGAGGAGCTCACTCCACGTGCTGTTTTGCATCTTGCTTTTATCACTTCAAATGTCCTTAAGAGCCTTCCTGCTTGGTTCACAAAAGGCTGCCCCTCCTTTGAAATGCTGCATCCGAGTGGTGGTACAGATGTGCCATTGTTCATGTGATGAGTCCCTTGCTGACAAGTATTGAGTTCTATCCAGTCTTGGCCCACAGAAACAGGGCTCCAGTAGGTGACAGTGAACACGCATCAGAGGACACATGTGTTGGCTGTCAGTCTGTGGGATAAACTCCTAGAAGTGGAACTGCTGCTTTAGAGGGTGTGTCCGTTTTAAACGTTGCCACCCTTGCCCAGGTGTTCTCCTTATGGTTGAATTAGCTCATCCTCCACCTGCAGTGCAGACACTGCCCATTGCTTCACTGCCTCTCTCTGCAGTGGGGAGCATGTTTTGGGTTGCCCATCAGATAGGTCTCACTGTACTTTTAACAGATACTCCTCTTATCAGGAGTGAAGTTAAATGTCTGTCCATGTGACTCAGAGCCATCAATAGTGCCTTTTCTGTGAATTACATGATCTTTTCAATTCATTTGCCCATTTTTGTTTGGTTGTGATCCGTAACAGTTTAAATTTTAAAAATATCTAGTCTAGATTGAAGATAAAGGAGCTCTGCCTGTCGTTGGAAGATAGCATTTTTTTAATTACTGTTCTTATTCATCTGATTCTATTTTATCATGGATTGAATTATCAAATATCAGTAGAGAAGATTAAATTTCAGGTCATTGGTGGTATCTACTCTTGAGGTGGTTTTGTAAATTTATGTGAGACATTTAGAATTTCCTGCTTCTGTAATTTCATAGATGTAATTCTCCATTTCCACAGTTGTTGGGCTATGTGGAATGTTACAAAGCAGGTAAAAGAATGAGATGCGCTTTCTGACTCAGAGGGTCTCCAGAGTATGTTGTTGAATGAAAAAACAAGCCAGTTGCAGAAAACTGCATAGTATGACACCCTTTATGTCTGAAAACTCAGAGAAGACACCTAGTGCTTGTTTTCTTTGTATATAAACGTGTTTAAATCTGTAGGTGAAGGTTCAGAGAGACAAAGAGCATGCTTTCTGGGGAAGAGAATAAAACTGGGCTGGGGTGTAATCAAAAAGCACGTAAATCTTGGTCGGGCGCAGTGGCTCTCACCTGTTATCCCAGCACTGTGGGAGTCTGAGGTGGGAGGAACACTTGAGGTCAGGAGTTCAAGGCCGGCCTGGCCAACATGGTGAAACCCTATCTCTACTAAAAATATAAAAAGTAGATGGGTGTGGTGGCGGATGCCTGTAATCCCAGCTACTCAAAAGGCTGGGGCAGGAGAATCACTTGAACCCGGGAGGTTGAAGTTGCAGTGAGCCGAGATCGAGCCACTGCACGCCAGCCTGGGCGACAAGAGTGAGACAGCTTCTCAAAAAAAAGCACCTAAGTCTTAAATATAAGGTTTGTTTTTTTTCACTCACAGAATTAACCATCTATTTGTGTAATTAAAAAACAATGTTTTAAAAATTTCATGAGATAACAAATGGATTTGTTCTGTGCAAACTGGACTGTGAAAGGCAGCTTAAACCAGATCTAGGCAGCCACCGAGGGGCTCTAAGAGAGTGACTGCAATTTGTGAATCCACCTGCTGGCTAATACTAGTTTGGCTTCTCAGATCCTGACAGGCGAAGATTGGAACGCTGTGATGTACGACGGCATCATGGCTTATGGGGGCCCGTCCTCTTCAGGAATGATCGTCTGCATCTACTTCATCATCCTCTTCATTTGTGGTAACTGTATCCTTCAAGCTGACCTGGCTTCCTTGTTGCCTTCGTCACGTGTTTCTTTTTCTTGCTCTGGATTTCTCTGTGGGATGATGGTGGTAGTCGTTGTGGCAGGGAGGTGAATGCCTTTAACTTATTAACTCAATATCTGCTTTTCTTCCATGTGGTGGGGGGACAGCGTCCTATAAGTAGAATTCCAGAGAGGCTTTGCAGAATGTGTTCTGGCTAAGAGAAGCAAGCCCAGGAAAGGAGCATGAGACAGCACATGTACTGGTACCAGAGGTTACTCAGTTTTTCCTCATGTCTCCTGTACAGGTCCTGAGGGATGGCTGAGAGGAAGGCCAGGTGGTTCTTTATGTTATCATTCTTGGGAGCTTGGGCGTCCAACTGTGACTTCCTAAGAGCCTCCGTGACTGATGGGAGCCATCTCTGTGAACTGACCTGTGCTCCCTTGGGCTGATTTCACTTTGCTGATCTGTCCATCTTTGGGGATCAAGTGTCTATTGGCTAGTCGCAAAATCATGCTACGTAACCTCTCTCTGACTTACTTCACTCCTTTTTCCTGCCAAAAGGCACTCTCTAATCCTAGACTTCTGGCATTGGCCCTTGGATCTGTATTTACCTCATTCAGACCCTTCCTGGTCCTGTAGCCTTTGGTTCTCTGTGTTTTATCTCCAGGTCCTCCATGCCTAGCACCAGACCTGGCACACAGAGGCTTTAGTGAATGCTTGATGAATGAACGGCATACACACATGATACTACATCTGGGTCTTCTCCCTTCCATTTTAAATGGTCCTAATCTAGATTCTTCTAAGGGGGCCCAGATCTCTGTAGGTGTTTTCTCCTTTATCTTGTCTGGCTCATCGATGAATTTTCTTCAGTGTGGCAACCTCAGTACAAGGTCAGTGCTTTGTGCTATAAGGTATTTTATGAAAACCCCATATCAACACATATACATCCTCCTAATCCCTTGAGTTGGCTCTAAGGCCCCATCCACCAGAGACACCCTTACCCTGTCTCCCACCCAGAGAAGGTTCTTCTACCTCTGAGGTCCCCTCAGATTTTATCCACATGTATCTTACCACCTGTAGGTTCTCCTATCTACTGGATTTTTTTTTTTTTTTTTTT